AAAATGATGAAGCAATGTTTGTGATATATTAAGTAAAACAAAGTTATCTTTAATAAATTGTAAAAAAATAAAAAAATGGCAGAAAAACCTATAGCTTGAAAGTTAAGAGACATATTAACTAATTGCAGTGTATTGTACTGTCTGAGCCACACACACCCACACCCAAAAGAAATCTGAGGAAATTTAAACAATGAATGATACCATAAATGTTTTAAATTATTTTTAAATGTGGTATTATTTTTTCTATATTGAGAGACGAAACACAATGCTGTCAGAATTAGGACCCACATGCCCGGTAAAGTAGAGTTGTGTTTGTTTCTCTACACTTCCCTGCTAGGAGATTCCGTTTGTTTCGTTGTTTTGTTTATGAAGATCTAGATGAAAAAAGATTAACAAAGTCTGAGGATTCATTATATTTTACTCTACTTCTGCATGTTTAAAATTATGGACTGTAAAAATCTTTTAAAGTTATAAAACAGTATGTATACGGTGATCCTATTTATTAGTTTATTTTAGATATCTTCTTTCTTATTCTTCTGTATGAAACATAGTTTTTTTTTTTAACATAGACACGTGGACCAAAAGGGACCACATGCTAACCTGACTTTGATCTTTACTGAGCCTATTGTGTTTCCGCATCTAAGATAACATACCTGTGGAAGGTCAGAGTAACTTGTAACTTCCCTTTTTCTGGACCCCTCAGGGCACAACAAATGGCGCCAGGGCAGAGAACACAGGGCAGAGAACCTCATTGTTATTGTTATCTGTGAATTGTTTCTATTTACTTATTTATCTATTTATTTATATCTGTTAACTGTTGACTGTCAACTATCCTACACCCACCTAAGAAAAAGAAGTATGTGTCTACCATTTTACTTTTTGTCCAGTTCTAGAGGTTTCCCCACTTTGATTTCTCACACCTCCCTAATCTGTGACCAATGGAGTTCATGCAACCCACTTATGCCTCCTCTTTTGATTGTAATGTATAAAACAAGGTGAAAAAATGCCATTCTCCAGAGCATTGTCTCAATACTTTGAGAATCTGCTTCTTGGCAATTGTTGACAGTTTGGCTCAAATAAACTCACAAAAATTCTTTACAGGTTTGAATGTTTCTTAGGTTAACAGACATAATATACTTTCTGTAATAAATAATTTAACAACTTGAATTAATTTATGCTAGACATCAATCAACCCAAATTTGCTCTTCTCCCATTATTTCTAACATACCACTGAACAGCAGTTCATAAACTGTTAAAAATAACAATGTAAAATGAAGTCACACATTGTCTCAAACTAAATTTGTTGATCTTCTATTAACCTATGGCCCATACATCAGTTATAAAGTGACTTTTATCTGGCTGGCAAGGGAGTAATTCATGCCTGAAGCAGGCAAAGAGAGAGAAGCAATCTCTGGAAATCTCGGGCTTTCCAGTTTCAGTACAAAGCTAGATCTTCATAAACAAAACAATGAAACAAATGAAATCTCCTAGCAGGTAAGTGTAGAGAAACAAACAAAAGTCTACTTTATATAAATGATTTGGATAGTTTATACAACTTTAGGGACAATTTTATTTTATTTATAAATATTTTTATTGATTTCAGAGAGGAAGGGAGGAGAGAGAGATGGAAACATCAATGATGAGAAAGAATCATTGATTGGCTGCCTCCTGCACGTCCCCCCACTGGGGATCGAGCCCGAAACCCTGGCATGTGTCGTTGACTGGAATCGAACCCGGGACCCTTCCGTCAGCAGGCTGACGCTCTATCCACTGGGCCAAACCAGCTAGGGCTAGGGACAATTTTAATTAAATTAGTAAGAAAATGCAATTTTTCCAGCATCTATGCTTTTACTTTGATAGGGCAGATGGATTTACCTTAGGGGAAAAGTAAGTCACCAAGACATTATATTATCAAACTCTTTAAGAGGAATTTTAGCCTTACGTGGGCCTTCCAGAAAATGACTGTAAGCATATAAAATGAAATTAGGAGCCCTAACCGGTTTGGCTCAGTGGATAGAGCGTCAGCCTGGGGACTGAAGGGTCCCAGGTTTGATTCCGGTGGTCAAGGGCATGTTCCTTGGTTGCGGGCACATCCCCAGTTGGGGGTGTGCAGGAGGCAGCTGATCGATGTTTCTAACTCTCTATCCTTCTCCCTTCCTCTCTGTAAGAAAATCAATAAAATATATTTAAAAAAAATAAAAATAAAATGAAATTAGGATAAATTAAAGTACTTAAAATATCAGAACCTCTGTTGATGATGGGTGTGTTGTGCTATATAATCTGCTCCTGTTTAAAAACTCATCCATAATTCCTACGTGCAGGAAAGAGAAAAGTTTGGAAATTGGATTTTTGTGATTCTGCTTATGTCCTCCAAGCTCCAAATTATTTAACTGAGTAAAAAATCCTGCTTTGCTTCTAGTGTTGGTCTCCCTTTCTAGGCCCTTTCAACTACAGGCCTGAGTCCCATTTCCAGTAAACTTCTGTCCCACCCTTGCTCCTGAGCCCAAGTTCATCCTTTGTCTAGAATGAGTTCTCGCCCCACCAGAAGAGGTGTCCAGAATGGATCTTGCCGCCCTTTCCGTAGCCAGATGGGTATGGGGAGCAGGAGGCTTCTCCCCTAATCACTTCTCCAATAGTCCTCAGAACTTCTATTTTGGTTTCCGGATTGGTCAACACCCAGAAAGAAGCCCTGAGTCTCAGCCCTCTGCCCCCAGATGTGGCCCTTATCTATAATCATCTAGTAACCACAAGCCTGGCTCCCTACATCTGGGACCACACTGACCCCTGGTGGATGCTGTTCTTCCTGCCTGGAGATCCTTGCAGCCTGCCCACCCCTCACTTCACAAGTGTCACCAAAATATCTCTGTAGGTGGGGATTGAACTGTTATTTGCCACTCCTGTGAAAAACATAACTAGGACTGTGGAATATCCCTCAGTGGTGTGCCAACTGATATATTTTCAGGCTTTTTACAAGTTGGACTGTTAAACACAGCCATTATTCAAAGTTAAATGACATAAACTTACAATTGATTTATATTAAAAGATCTTAAGTACACAAAACTCATCACTTCTTAATAATCTTGCTACATTTTACTATTATTGTCTATGCCCGTGAGTTATTTTCATCTATTGTTATCTGGATGGTGGAAATTACTCCACTTGTCAATCGTGGTTGAATTGCAACCCATACGCTGGCTATAGATATGAAATCAGCAAAACTCAGTGAAAGCACTGTCAGAATCAGTTGGCTATATGAAATTTAAAAGAAAAAGTATCGTATATTTTATTATCATTTATATATTGTGTGCTACACACCCTTTATTATCAGTAAAATGTATAAATTGATACCATTTTTTTCCAGAGAGCTAATTGTTAAACATCTTGCAGCACACTACAGTATCCTTTCTTTCTTCTTTTTTAAAATATACTTTTATTGATTTCAGAGTGGAAGGGAGAGGGAGAGATAGAAATATCAATGACGAGAATCATTGATTGGCTGCCTCTTGCAGGCCCTACCCTGGCAATGGAGCCTGTAATACAGGCATGTGGCCCGAACCCTGACCTCCTGGTTCATAGGTCGATACTCAACCAATGAGCCACGGCGGCTGGGCTACATTTTCCCTCCTTTCCACTCCATCCCGTTCTGTGGTCTCATTAAACTCTCCTGATTTTGGCCACCTCCCATTATGGACTTTGGGCCAGTTGGAGGTTGGAAGCTCATACCCAACCCTCTCTTGATTTATCTTATCCAGGTGGAAGGACACCCATTAGCATAACACACCTGGCTTTTTCTGCTCCTTTGCACATTCCTCCCCCAGGCAAGTGAACTGACTTACCTGGTTGGTGAGTTTAGGAGAAAGAAGTCATGCATGGCCTAATTCAGCGGTTCTCAACCTGTGGGTCACGACCCCTTTGGGGGTCGAACGACCCTTTCACAGGGGTCGCCTAAGACCATCGGAAAACACATATATAATTACATATTGTTTTTGTGATTAATCACTATGCTTTAATTATGTTCAATTTGTAACAATGAAAATACATCCTGCATATCAGATATTTACATTACGATTCATAACAGTAGCAAAATTACAGTTATGAAGTAGCAACGAAAATAATTTTATGGTTGGGTCACAACATGAGGAACTGTATTTAAAGGGCCAGAAGGTTGAGAAACACTGGCCTAATTCCTGCCTCTGTTCCTTTTCTTAGGAGCTACCCACAGGGAGCATCTTTCCCCACATGGGAAGACTGCCCTGTTCTGGTGTTGCCTGAGGTTACTAAGTAAGTTGGTCACATTTTGGAGTTCATGTTAAGAACTCCACTTGCTCCAAGATAGAAGCTACACTCTATGAAGTAGCATTATTAATATAAGGGCCATATATTGGCTTCCATCTGCTGACTCCTTTGTCTTATTTCTCAGTTAGTTCAAATGGAGAAAAGGGGTGCTATTTATTGGGCCCCTTAGAAACTCCAAAAGGATCCTCTGTCATCAGCCTTTGTTCTTGAGGTCCCAGAATGCCTTGTGGCTATGCCTATATGTATTGGTATGCACAAGCCTTCTCTAAGTTAAGAAAACTTTAATGGCAAATTTATTTGCTTAGAATTCCTCTTATTACCAATATGTGTGATAATAGTAATGCTTACACAATTCAGCTTCTCTCATGTGCCAGACATTATATAAACATAGAACTTGAAAAACAAGTATTATTGACCCAGAGTGTTTTAGTAACTTTCCCAAGGTCACAAAGTGACCAAGCCAGTTGTGATTCCAAGGCCCTTGCTCTTTCTGTTATACTTTATCTCCTCCCCCTTTTCTTTCTCTTTCCTCCCACCCCATCCCTCCAGTCTTCCCTTCTCTCCTCTTTCCAGTCCTGCCATGACCTTCCCACATTTCCACATTTTCTAGCCCTTTGACACATCAGAAAATGAAGACAGTATTTGTGACCTCAGAGATTGCAGTGTGTGTGTGTGTGTGTGTGTATAATTCTACAAAATCTTACCCCAACAGTTGGGCTCTCAAGAAACTTGGCAGCAGGCAGTAGGAAAATTGTGGCTCCTCAATAGTATGCGCCTCAGATTTCTCACAAGGAATGTTCAGCATCAAGGTCCTGGGGGAAGAGGTCACAAAGAAACTAGTGTGCATCGAGAGAGGCCACAGGACTTCATCAAGCTGGGGTCTGTCTAGGTTTGAGATGGGGGCGGGGCTCTATGTGCAAAATGCAGCCTTTCCTCAAATGGAGTGTTTGCTGTTACCTCTGGATCAAGGTTTCTTTTGCTGGTGTCAACAGTTGTGTAATACATTCAGGAAATGAGCAAACAGTTTAGAGATTACTTGGGGAATGATTGAGAAAAAATATATAATTAATATATTGTTTATATGTTATATATTTAATATACTTATATATGATTAGTATCTACAGTCATATATTTATATATCATATGTAATGAATTCTCAATGGGGTAATATTGCCCCCAAAGGTGTGAAAATTGGTTCTTGGGAGAGAGGGTGAAAAAATATCACTCTTTTTACATATAAAGCACAGGTAGTACCTACATACATATAGTACCTAAACAAATACACAGTATGTGTGTGGTATTAAAATTTCATGGAGGGAATATTAAGAAAAAAATGTCTAAAAAGGTTCCTTAGGGGAGCAGTAATTTTTTTAAATGACTGAAAAACACTGATGTGTAGAAGGAGCTTAGTGGAGTATGTGACACATAATAGGGTTTCAATACCCAATGACATTTATAGCTGCTATTACAAATGGTTAGTTGTTATTACTGCCCTATAAACTAAAGAGAGAACCATGCCATGCCATCCTGGTTAGGGTAGAGAAGGGTATACTGTGGCATGTTCCCAGATGAAGTTAGCTTATGGTGGATCCTGTAGGAGATACAAGTCAGAACTGCCCACAGTTTTAAAAAATAAGCAGATTCTTGCACATGGCTGGGATGACCTCTGGGATGCCCAGAAACACTTGTGCATGGCGTATTAAAATCCAAAGAACACGCAAAGCATCGATGTGTGTGGGTAGTGCACAGGCTACCACAATGTCCACTTTAATCCTCTGGGGAAGGACATGCTCCCAAATTTACTTTCCTCCCAGCTGAGAAGTCCACCACCAAGTTTCCTGCACATGCTTGTGTTTCTCCTTAAAGAGGATCCGGCTTCTAGAAGGCACTCAGTAAATGAGTTAATATGGAGTAGAAGCAACTTCTCATGAAGCTGCATGTGCTCTGCTGGTTGAAAGAAAAATAATGCAATGATTACTTTAAAAATCTAAGTTTGGCCCTGGCTGGGTGGCTCAGTTGGTTGGAGCGTCATCCGTACACCAAAAGGTTTCGGGTTCAGTTCCTGGTCACGGCACATACCTAGGTCCGGGCATATACGGGAGACAACTGATCGATGTTTCTCTCACATTGATGTTTCTCTCTCTCTTTCTCTCTCTCTCTCTCTCTCTCAAATATCAGTAAAAACACATCCTTGGGTCAGGATTGAAAAAATAATAATAAAGTCTAAGTTTGTGTTACTTTTAGCATACAAAGTGGTTTCATATATAGTATCTTATTAAATCATCATCATAACCCTGTAAGGTCAGTATGACATCCCCACATAAAGGATAAAGAAGCTGAGGTTTGGCGAGTTCACTTAGTTATTGTTCTCACTACCTATCTAGTAAGAAGTAGCAGAGCAAGCCTCCTTTCTATTATACTACACCCATAATATTCTTTTCCCACAGAGGAGGAAGGCACATGAAATGGGAAAGCTATGGAGGAAAAGTTACATGCTGGGACATGCGGACTCCCCTTGTGAGGGATATGGTAATGTCTGAGAATTGACACAATCAATGCATGCAAGAAGGGGTGTTATTTTCATGGAGTATGAATCTAGCCTATGGCAGAGACTTCTGTGGAAGGTCAAAGCTATCAACTGCCAAGTTACAGGGAAGTGAAAACTGATCAAAATAGAAAACAGAGTATGGAAGTATCTTGAGATACTGTGAAATCTGGGGTATAAAAGACTTCGAAAACTAAAGAAATAAAGGACTTATTTATTTAAAACGCACAAATGTTGAGAATAAAATATGAAACGAAATATGAACTATTAGATACACATTGGTGTAATTTTTTATTTCAGGGCCATAGCTTCAAATGTAGGAATGACAGGTATTTGACTAAGAATGGAGAGCATTTTTCAAAGACTGAAAAGAATGTTTAGTCAGAGACCAACTCCTCTGGCCAAAAGGGCTGTAAATGGAAAACAGATGGGAAGGAGAAAAAAAACACCTAGACAAAACTGAAATGGGTTTCCATGGATGACATTCAAGAAGGCTGGGAAGAATTTCAACAGGAGGGAGATGCTGGGTAATTTAATGAGAAAACAATTGGAAAGGACATCAGGAAACAAACATACACAGCAGATATCCAGATATCATGCTCAGAACATGAACAACAGAGTAACCTTGAGATTACAGCACAGGGTGACAAACAAGACCTCAGAGATACCACTGCAGGTTGGCGTGATGGAATGGATCCATGGGAACATACTGATAGAAGGGTGTGCTGTGCGCAAAAGACCTGTTGGGAGGAGATGGAGCAGCACTGTAGGCTGTGATGACAATAGAGTCAGAGGAATTCCTGAACACTTGGATGAAGATGAAAGGAGAGAGGAGCAGAAGTAATGTTGTTAGGGAAGCAGAGCTGAGCCACTTGGAGGAAAGCCACACAATTGGCAGAACACACACAATGGAGATACCATTCTGGGTACTTCATTCAGATAAAAGCAGATTCTTTTACTTACCTTCCTAACAATTTCATGTCCTATAAGGTAGAGGAAGGTATAAAAATAACTGTACTCTGATTCCAACCAATGGGAAAAAGTAATTTGTTGGAGTGAAAGGGAAGAGCACCTTTCAAGGGAGGGCAAGGTTGAGATGGATAAAATGTATACAGAGGACTTTAGGAAGCTAGATTTCAAAATATTTTAAGAAAATATAGGCATAATTCCAGAAGTTTCCAAAAGGAGACAGTACCAGAAAGTGCTCAGAAACATGACTACGGGCAATTCCAATGAAAAGAAAAGAGGTGAGGAGATTCTTAAAGAAGTTAGCATGATGGCGCACAGCACTTTAAGCGAGGGTATAGGATGAACATACAAAAAGATGGAGGTAAATGACAACTCTATGGTAGTGACATAGAACCATAAATAGTAGCAGTAATGTTAAAATCCTGGAAGAATCAAAGCATGTAAAAATGTAAGACCAGAAAAAGTGTTATGGGACCAAGGGAATTACAATAAATGGTAAGAAGGATGTACTATTTCTCAAATGATATCACATTCCTTTAGGCTCTGACAAGGACTGTGATTGTGGGGCTGAAACGCAAAAGTAGGTAAGAATATGTTGAAATCTACAATTTGAAAAGATGTTACCGATTCCTTTTGAAGTCTAAACTGGGATCCAAACTTTTTGAATCCAGTCTGTGAATCAACTAGCATACATTTGGCTATCTTCAAACTTTCTTATTTTAAACACTTTGGGTCCTGGGGCTCTTCTTAGTTAATATATAAAAGCTCTGCAAAACAGAGGCAAGCATGTATTGCAAAACCACAAATAATAAGCATGGGTCCATGAAAAAGGAGCTCTCACTTTCCATTCAATAGATATTTGGGTTGTTTCCACCTTTTGACTAAGGTGAGTTATGCTAATGTGAACATGGGTGTGCAAATATCTGTTTGAATCTGCTTTGAATCCTTTTGAATATATAACCATAGTGGAATTCCTGGATCAAATGGTATTTTCATGCTTAATTAATATTTTTGAAGAACAGTCATGATGGCTGCACAGTTTACATTCCTACCAGCACTGCACAAGGGTTGCAATTTCTCTGCATCCTAGTAACCTCTTGAGGGCAAAGATTCAGAGATTCATCGACATAGGTAGGGCCTGGAATATAATCGCTTCCCAATAAATATGGAGAATAAATTATAATACACCAATTAACAAATAAACATGCTATCAACAAAAAGTCAGCTATGATTTTTAGTTCAAAAGGCAAGCCTGGTATGCTTGAAATAAATGCATTAAAATCAGCTTTAGCTAGAAATGAAAAACCTGTTGAATGAGAAAAAGAATGAATTGGGGAAAAACAGAACGAGAAAAATAATCACAAAACTATTTGAACACACTGAACTTTAGCAAAAGATATATTTCACAATTTATATTGCTAACAATTTTCCTACTCTTGCAAAACTAATGAGAAAATCAGGTCAAATGAGAAAAAGGAATGTTGGGTTGTGTAAAGGATACTGTTTAAACATAGAACATGTGAATGTCAGGCCTTTGCCCCACTGGCTGGTTGACTGCACCATAAAACCAACTTTTCAAATCATAATAGCTAAGTAGAGAAAAATACTTTTAGGAATACCTATGTGGTATGTATGACAGTTTAAATTCTAGATATTAAAAACCATCTGTGTGGCTAAATGACTTTTCAAAAGGTTGTAAAAAATTGTAAACTCACCAGCAAACTATGAGAACATCATTCCCATACACTCCATGGGGACAGAAGTTCCTGCACTCAGGACACTTCCAAACCTTGCCCTATGTATTTCATCCGGCTGTTCAGCTGTATCTTGTATCATATCCTTTATTATATTACAGAAACCTGGTGTAAGAATTCATGCACAGGTGGGGGGGTCCAGCTGGCCCACTCCCTATGGGGGTGGAGGGGCCAATTGGGGGTGGGGCCAACTGGGGGGAGGGGCTGAGGGCGGCGGC